TTCTTTTAAAGTATCGATCAAACAATTTCAGATTTATGCTGGTTGGAAGGGTGACAGGTTGGAAGGTGACAAAAAAAATATTTTGCCGTTTTTTGTTTGGTGCACTCAGTTGTGAGTTACAGGGTGTTAAAAATGGAAGTGAATAAAAAAAAATGACAAATGGTGTTTATGGTTCCGATAATGTAACAGCCAATTATGTGCAATTTTGGTTTCGTAGATTCCGTTCAGGAATTTTTGATATCAAAAATGCACCTCGCACAGGTAGGCTGATCGTCGAAAATGTCGATAAATCAGAAAAAGGATCGAAGTTGACCGGCATGTTAGCAGTCGTAACCAGGAGCTAAAAATCGAACATAAAACTGTTTTAAACATTTACAATTGACCAGAAACGGCAAGAATTGTCCACCAGGATAACCCTAGGCGACACACATCTACAGTGACTACCCAGAAACTTCGGGAGCTTGGTTGGGAAGATTTAATGCATCAGCCATACAGTGCGGACTTGACACCAAGCGATTATCATCTCGTTCTTGCATTGCAAAATTTCTTTAATGATAACAAATTGGTATCTAAGGGGAATTGTGAATATCGACTACTAAATTTGTTTGCAAATAGAGAGCAGGACTTCTATGATAGAGGCATTAGGAAGTTACCTTTAAAATGGCAACAAATCATACTACAAAACGGTGCATATTGGGCTAAATCGGACATTCCGAAGCATGTTAAATAAAGTCCTATAGTTCATATAAAAATAATGGATTTATTTTTAACCTAACCTGTAGATAGAACAGACATAGCATCTTAGAAGGACCATTGAGATGGAATCGGGCTATAATTTGATCTACTTAGATATTTGAACCAATAAACATACCATCCTGAAATCAATGATCAATTGCATGTCAAACGGGCAGACTTGGATTTTTTGTTGTACCATTTGTATGAAATGAAATAGAGAAAAATTATATATCGGAGCTATATATAAACACATTTTTTGTAAACCGACCCTAATTCAGTACGCTTTACAAAATTGTGTACCAATCAAACCAATATTGGGTGTTTGGTGCATCATTCACATAAAATCGGATGAAACTATATATGGGACCTATATCTAAAGCTGAACAAATTTTAACAAAACTTTGCATACATACGTCGAAATATAATTCAGTACCCTGAGCAAAATTTTGTCCCAATCGCATCATTCATATAAAATCGGATAATATGTGAGCTATATCTACATGTGAATCGATTTTAACGAAACTTTGTATTCATCAACCTGGACCTAATCCAGTAGGCTTTGCAAAATTTTGTATCAATCGGACAAATACTGGGAGTTTGGTGCATAATTCACATAAAATCGAACGAAACTGTATGTGGGAACTATATATAAATCTGAAGCGATTTTAGCAAAACTTCACAGACATCAGTCTGTAAATAATTCAGTACGCTTTGCAAAATTTTGTACCAATCGGGCAATTATTGGATAAAATCGGATGAAAATATATATATATGGGAGCTATATCTAAAACTGAACCGATTTTCTCCAATTTCAATAGGATTCGTCCTTGGACCAACTAAGTGACATATGCCAAATTTTATCAAATTGGAATCATAAATGCGACCTGTACTTTGTTTACAATTAAGGGACCCCCCATTCTTGGGGTCAACATTTTTTATGATTTAATTCGAATCTACATTAATTCAAGAATGTCCCTACAAAATTTCAAGTGAAAATCTCAAGAACTCTTCAAAATATAGCCGATTTATGGCGAAAGGGCTTCTTAAACTTTAAACTCATTTTTCTCTTTTGCGAATGGCGGGCACGATAACTCAAAAACTAATAACCCAATCGATTACAAATTTTTACACGTTCTCTGTGAGTGTATAGCTATCGTATGAACTAGGATAAAGCCAATCGGTGAAGATCTTCCTTATTTTTTAACTTGGATCTTGGTCAAAAATCTGCGATTTTCCAAAAAAAAAAAAAAAAGAAAAAATTCAAAGGTCCGCCATTTTGTTAATTTTAGAGCGAAGTCAATAATCCTAGTTCATACCAGAGCCAGACATATGCACAAAAACATAATACTCTGTACAATAGTATGGTGAAGGGTATACAAATTGGTACATACTCGGAATTGTTCCTGGAAAATGGGGGCCAAAAAGACTCACTCAGAGAGTTGACTGGTATCGCACGTCAAACAGTACTGGGCAGTTTTTTGTGCAGTCTCAGGACAGTTATTTTTTTCTATAGAAAAGATCCCCAGAATTGACTAATTGTCTGATTTCATTTATAGTAAATCGACAGTCCACAGAAAAGATTTTTCCTATTGAAAAAAATTATTTCTTTCTTAAGAAAAATATTTACTATCCTCAAGGCTGCTAGGGCGGGTTTTCTATAGAATTCTTTATTGCGTTGTTGTTTTTTATATCTCAGCTCCAGTACCGTCCTTTTACCGGCATTCTCATTTTTTATACAACATTTTTTTCTATCGAAAATGGGAAATAAATTGTTCTTTATTGTTTACCATATGAAAATTCTGCATATTTTAAATATTCTCTTTCATACGTAACGATTTTGTAACTGTCACTGATGTTTGCTTCTTTACAAGCTTTCGTCTAAAAAAGCTTTTATTTTGGAAAAGCTTTTTACTGTTATATCTACTCCATAATTCTGTAAATAACATACTGTTAAATATTTCAAAACGAAAGTTCCGAACAACAACAAAATTATTTTCTTAGCAATAATAATATAAACGATAATTTCAATTTTTGAAATTGAAAAAAATCAAAAAGTCCGCTAAGAGGTTTTCTAAATATCCAGTGGTTTTCTGTTACAAATTGTATTCAAATGCTTTCTAATTTTAAAATCTAAACGATTTTAAACTATAAATATTTATTGCCATTATTTAATGCAATGCAAAAAGCGGATTAAATGGCATCATTTGTTATACTTTTTTTCCCCAAATAATGCCAACAACAACAACAACAAACAAAGCAATGACGACGCAAAGTGTCGCATTCTTTTCTAAAAGCCTACTACATTTGTCATCACCTACTTCTCGAGGTCATTATAATTTGTTTCACTTTGTGTGTACGTATGTGTGTATGCACATTTATACACCACCTATATCCTAGTGTTTATAGGCGTACGTGTATGTGTGCCTGTGTGTGTATTATACATGTGTCAATAAATTACGAATGGTTTATTGCTGAGACAATGACACTTTTAAAAATCTAAACCGAATGTCAGGCAATGCAATGAGTTCGTTACGTTTCGTTCGTGTGTGTGTGTATGTGTGTCACTTTTACGAGTAATTTCACTTTATTTTTCATGTTTATGCCAAAACCCGTTTCAAAATCGATATTTTGATTTGAGTGTGTCGTCGTTTTCGACATCGTCACCTGTTTCCCGCTCACTTGCTGTCTTACTCTCGCATTGAATTCCTTTTGTAGATCAAAGGTCTACGTCATAGGGCATAGTTGCCGAATGGCAAATACTGAATGTCGACGTCACTCAAAAAAGCGTATGGAAATCGTTTAGCGATGAATTGTTGTTTTTATGTAGGAATTTTAATAGAGTATTTCGTTGAGATTTTGAAAATGTTAATTATTTGGGCAACGTAGTTAACCTTTTAGGAAAAGTTTATGTTGTTTTTATGGGTAGGAAGGAACATGTAAGGACTAAAGGAGATCTATGATTGAAGTCGGAGTCATCGATGGTAAACCTGGTCCTTATTCTACTATTTATAAAATTTTTGAACAATATTCTTCAATGATATTGCATTTTTTCCAAGAATATGGAATTCTAAATGACCGCCACTTTTTGGGGAAATGTTACTAAAACCTTAAAAATGGGAAAATGGGCCGGGTTCTTCCTTATATCAAAAGATGGACCTGCATCTTCCACAAAAATGTGTGTTCATCCTCCAAAACTCGGAATGTAAAACTACAAGGAAAACTTTCGACAAAACATGGACCTATATTGACCATTTTTTGCAGCCACTTCTATGGGGAAATGCGGCTAAAATCTTAATAATGCGACTTTTATGTGGGATCTAGGTCAAAACATGAACCCATATAATTTTCGGCAAAGATGTTCTCCAACACTCAAGAGCATGGTATGTAAAATAACATTCATTCGGATCGTAAATACAGAAAAAGGGGGGACGTACCAATATATGAAAAAGCCAAAGCCGTCATACCATTATATGACGTCTTCGTCCGATATTCGTCCTATATTGACAATTTGTTCATCCTTCAAAAGCCAAGAACACCAAATTAAAGCCAATTGGGTAGAGAAATTTGGGTAAAACTTTCATAATAGCAATTATGTGGGGTCTATCTCAAAATCCAGATATACCAAATTTCAGTAAAGAAATTCGTCTAAAGCCTTAATAATGTCGACAATTATGCTGAGACCTTTATGTGAGGTCTATGTCAAAACTTTGACATATTCGGCATAGATGTTCTCCAACACTTAAGAAAATGGATTGTCAAATTACATTCAATTCGAATGGACAATGCGGCTTAGACCTTTAAACGTACCGAAAAAATACAACCACTTTGTTTGATATATGCGGACATGATTTTCGGGATGATCATGGGGATGTGCCGTCACTAATGTGGCAGCTGCACTCTGAGACCATCTGGTGCATTGTGATCATCGATGAAAGATATGGAGGGATCTATAGGAGTGAAGAAAAAAGGGGGAAAGAAGAAATAAGAAAAATTAAGAAGCTAAGAAACAAAGAAGTATGTGGAGGTATGTAAATAGTTTCGATGGCAGCATAAATTCGGACAGATGATATATTACGTGCTAAGGTTGCACTTTCCCAACCCCTAAAGGTTTCTAATGATGCTGTGGATTAAAACAGGTTCAATAGTTGAATAGAAGCTTAGACACGGTGGAAATGAGCACCCACCAGTCTAGCCATCCGTAGGCTAGGACTGGACAGCGACACAGGAGATGCTCAATTGTCTCCGTCTCCTCTCCATCCACACAGAGTCTGCAGTACTCAGTAACAATATGGTCACAATTACTGCTAAAGGCCCTGATATTGCTATGACCAGTAATGACTCCTGTCATTACTCTGATTTCAGCTTAACTCAGGTTCGACGGTGAGTTTGTTCTCTTGGTGGCAGAGTCGGCCAGATAGATTTTGACACATTGCACCTAGGTTTGTTGTGCCAGAATTCATTGACTCGTTCGTCGAAGAACGCATCAAATTTCCGAAAAATGTGACAAATGGGTGTTTTGATTGAGCCATCGATTGCTAGATCTGTAGATTGAAATCTGCGTCTAGCTAATTTGTCTGCTTTGTCATTAACCGTGATGTCACAGTGTCCTGGTACCCAACATAGCCGATAGCTGTAAGTAAGTGTTTCCAAAACTGCTCTACACTAGAGGTCGACCTCAGATTTGATGTTGCATGATTTGATGGCTTTAAGAGCCGCATGACTATCCACAAAGATAGTCACCGGTTCAACGATCTCTGCGTCCAGACTTTTTATGAATTCCGCTGACTTTCAGATCGTGAAGATTTCAGTTTGGAAAAAAAAACTACAGTTGCTATCCAGCTAGGCCTCGAGCGTAGGTAAGCCTTTCACAGTAGACGGCTGCCCTCTTACCTTCTTTCATCTTGGATCCGTCTGTATAGAAAGCGGCCTAGATTAGGGTTGCCACGTTTCCAGTCGTCTTTACTAGGGATAACGACTTCTCAAATCTAAGTCATATAGTTTTAGGAGCTAACTTAAATAATTTTGATAGGAAAATTTTGATGCTGCTTAATGATAACCCCTAAAGCCGAATTCCAGCCATTTCTGTTGAAAAACTTGACGAAAATCAATACCAAACCCTCATCAAGAAATAGTGTGTGTTCAAGGAGGAGCATATGCTGAAGAAGATACATCATAATACGAATATCCACCTTATGGTGGAGGGTATAAAAACTTAATGGACGTTCATTGCATCCATAATAACATTGTATAACCTCCGCCAGATTTACCAGGAATTTCGAATTAAATTTTATGTATTGTGAAGGTTTTACTAACATTTCAGGTACCCAGAAGTATCATACGTTTTTCGGATACCATAATCGCTTAACTATAATTCCAATTAATTAATTTCAAATTCAGATATTTTCCAATACATTCGATTCCACCATCAATATATGCAATATGGCCTTTGCTACAAAATAATGCCTTTGTTTCGACAGCGATTACTTGAGATCTGAACACATGAAATAGTAGACAGAGAATCCATCCATTAATGCTACAAAATGGGCGTTCTTGATGGAGATTTTTTGTTCAAGGAAGTCCATATAAATAAAAGCATAGACATTAAAAACTGCAGACAATTTAACATTTTTGCGATTTGAAGCTTGTTTACTCGATGGAGGATACACATTGCTAAAAATGTATATAAAAATTGGGTTCTCTTACATGTATCTTCAAGTACTGTTATCTATCTCTCTCGTCGGATTGTTACTACTACTGTCCACAGATATTCATTTTGCATCTGTATATAATATATGCCGATAACTGTGCGGATATGTCCCTGTGGTCCATATCAAGTTGACCAGAACAGATTTTCAAAACTCTACGACTTAGCAATCTGTTATCGATTTTCGAAACTCATAACTTATATTAGTACTACTTCTGCTAAAAACTTTTTTTGACACATCTTCCCCAAAATACTCTTTAATAATCCTGAACATATACTCCAAACACAAAACCAACAACAACAACAATAATGAAAAACAAAAATATCAAAATATTGGAAAAATAACATCCTCACATCATCAAAATCGCCATCGTCAAGAGGAACTGCTGCTTGAGAATGCCACTGAACGGTAACAGTTGTATACTAGCTAGGCAGTTGGTCGGTTTGGTTTGGTATTCCACAGAGACTAAAGATGACACTGATGGCTCTAAGATGAGCTGTAAACTGCCTACTGGTGCTGCTGCTGATGCTACTGCTTCTTTGGTCGTTTTATTCCTCTGGCGATATAACGGCCATGTGTAGATGTTTTATTGTGGCCAAAACAGACCTAAAGTTGGTCAGTAATTTTTGTAAGTACGAAATGAAAGGTAGTCGCATGTAGGGTGTGTGTGTTTGTGTGTGTAACGGACAGGCAATGTGCGGTGGTTTTTGGTTGAGGGCCATATTTACAGTTTATATATCATGGGACCACTACTGAGTATAAGTTGACAAAACTATACAACAAACACACACATACACACTTATACGAACTTTACAAAAGCAACAACAACAACAAAATAGCAAACTTTACTCCACTAACGTGGTTTTGCACTTTACAACTTTTCTTCATTTTGGAGTACCTACATACATACAAAGCTATGATGATACGTACAAACTAAATGGCAGCAGCCGCAGCAGTTGCAACAACAAGATAAACACCAAACACACACACACACATTTTTACATTACTTGTTTGTTTGTTGTTGCGTAAATCAGGCCTATATGAGAGTAGAGTAGTAGCAACAACAGCGACAACAACAATAAGGCTCCAAAAATATAAAGGACATGGACAATAAATGCCAAAAACTCAAGAAAGAAGAAAAATCAGCCAGTCAGCCTATCAGCCAGCTTGCTTGCCTGCCAGCCAAACAAAAAAGCTTTCGGACGTACGAACACAAGCAACGACACCAAAAGATGACATTAGCCACGGTAGTGAAATGTGAAATGAAGAAAATAAAAAAAAATGAACTAAACCTAAAAACCTGCCCAAAATATAAGCATACATTTGTCAAATGACACTCAATTACTACAAAATTCCAAATGCAACAAAAACAACAACAAAAGTGCATTTCGACGTTTTCGACGCTGCAACACAATATGGCCAGAAAACAGCAGAAGACTGTGTGGCTGCAACAAAAGCAATAATAATAATAATGCTGGTAACAGCAGCAGCTAAACATACAAACGCACACCCGTACATACACATACTTACAATTAAGAGTATAGGCTGACAGACGGACACCAGATTTTTCTTTTTTGTCAAAACATATGAAAAAGACACAGTGGGGGGAAATTATATTTTTTAACATCACACAAGGAAGTTAAATATGTACGTTGTCATTGAAGAGGATAGTTCTTAAAAATCTTTAGCGCGGAACAACTATTTACTGAATCAGTGATCCGCCAATTTATAGTAAATGAATGAATAGATTTTACGCGACATATTACAAACCAGAAAAAACGTAAGAAGAGTTACAATGGATAGTTACGAGTGTTTAAGCGGCCATTCATGCGTTTGGGGTCTTCTGAACTAGGATTTTCACTCTTCTAAGTGAAGTCGCGGATGACGCGAGTGATGTGGGAAAGAAACGCCTGCTTTCACATCACTTTCTTATTTCACATACTAGCCAAATAGAATGAAATATGTTCTGGAAGAAGCACTTCAAAGTGCTTTTCTTCGGCAAAACTGGACATGTGGCTACTGTTCTGCTTGCGCAACATATGATGGCAAATTCTGAATGATACTCCAAAATACTATAAAATATTATATTTGTTTATTAACATTAAACCAGTGAGCGGAGCAGTATAGTCGGACGGGGTCGACCATATGATACCCTACACAACTTCCAAGAAAATCTAACTTTCTGTGGTTCTATGTTCTGAGCTGGGCAATATTTCGCGATATTTGCACCTTCATGACAGAGTAGAGGTCAACATATATTACTAGTATTCAGTACAGCCCTTCTAATTAGTTGTTCAGATTCCCTTCACCGTGGGTTGTGTTGTGATCGACTCGAAGAAACACAAAAAAAGTTGTCGGTCCAGTTCATCCCAAAATTATTATCTGATCATCACCAAAAATTATAGGCGTTGTCCTTTACCATATCTGGATCCTCATGGAAAAATTCAAAATATATTTCCGCCCTCTAGTGTGGTAATTTGTTACTTAATAATATATGAATACGTAATCAACTGTAAATATTTAAGTGTAACTCCCACATCCGAGTACATACGACAATATAATTGGCACCAATTTAAAGGTCAACCACTCCTCTTGGATATACAATCAACTTCTCGGGTCTATATTCTTCAGGACTAAATATATACGCCAAAGAATACACATTTTGTAATTTTTCACACAAAAGTCAGGGTCCATTTGACCCGCAAAATATTGGCCAATCTTTATCAAAACAGGCATGCTTATTCTTTGGCCCAATCCCCTTCTCCATGAAAATTTCGCGGTGTTTGGGCCATAATTGCGGCCTCTGGAGCGACCAGAAAAACCGAAAAAATGATGTTTTTTGTCATTTCATCCCATAAATATTAACTGATCTTTACCAAAAAACGGGGTCTTCATTGGCCAGAACCCATCCTACACGCAAAATTTCGTGATGATTGGGCCATACCTGTGGCCTGTGTCGTGTTTACAAATTATAATGGACGGACGAACGGACACACATGTCTAGATCGACTCAGCTAGTCGAGATATGATCGGTATACTTAAAGGTGGGTCTAGGACCAATATTTCGCAGCGTTACAAACTCTTGGGGCTGCACAAAGCTATAATACCCTAACAACATAGTTGTGTAGGGTATACAAATCAGAAAAAATTTTCGCAACTTGTAATTCTAATACATGATAATAATTACATCCCGCGTCGGTTTAGCTCCGTCTCTCCATTTCTGGAAATATTCAATAACTTTTGAAATATGTTGCTTTTACTCATAGGATTTCTGATATTGAAAATGGGATATATTTGTCTAAGTTTATGTGTAGCCCTTACAAAATGGCTTCCCAAATTTTTGCTATTTTTAGGAATTTGGACACATTTTCTTTTGAGAATCAGACATGTTTTTTATACCCTCAGTATTGTGGCTAATGAGCACTTCGAAGCAAATCTACAAATGTGGCTACTGTTCCGCTTGAGCAAAGTAGGATGGCAAATTCTGACTGATAATCCACATTTAGTTTGCCTGGCTTCAGCGTGCAACGATTTTCGACTCCAGAAATTATTGTTGAAGCGATCAAAAACCATGTTCTGAAGGTCCACTCCTGCTGATTCCTCCTATCTTTAAAAAATCGATATCAGACGAATGAAGTATTTGATATGAACCAAAAATCCGTAGACAGCTCTCAC